AGACCAAATTTGGGCCCTCGCCCTCAGTGGGAGGGCTCCGACCACACACACACACACACACACACACACACACACACACACACACACACACACACACACACACACACACACACACACACACACACACTAAACTGGATTTCATTAGATCAGTTTGGTGTTTAGAGAACAGTTTGTTTCTTTTTCTTTTCTCTGTTTTTAGTTCACTTTTAATTTAATCTTTGTGTTTTGGACTGACGATTTGAACAGATCAACTTGGAAGAACTAGGATGGGAGAACTGGGATAACCAAAATCTCCAACTTAAAAATGAATATTATCTGACTTTCTGCACGAAATAGGACCTTAACGACCAATAGTTAGCGATTACTTCAAATGTTATTGATTGGATCTGTTCAACTGAGTTTCTTCCCAGTGAACCATGCAATAGCTTGTGTTCACGAGAGAAATGCGTATACTTTTCTTGGAAATAAGCTTCAAAAAAGACTAAAGCAATCTTATTACACCATTTTTTTCCCGTATCAATTAATTATTGATGAAGTTGAGGATGATGTTATCCTCATTAGACTAATCGTTGCAGTTTTAAAATCAATTGTATAAGTATTTCCAGTTTCTATGTGAGAAATGGCAGCAATTAGAAAGCTTATGCCTAATGACCAAGACTTTAACCCTCCTGTTGTCTTCGGGTCAAATCTGACCAATTGACTACTTTCATCAATCATAACTTTTTTGTTTTACATTCGATTGCATTAAGGCTTTATGATATCCTTCACAGTAGACATTTGAACATATACAATGGCTGATCACCACTTTCATTGCATTTTGGATGATTTAGTCAACTTTGTAACACCCATGGTGTTCCCAGATAAAACACACACACACACACACACACACACACACACACACACACACACACACACACACACACACACACACACACACACACAGAACAATTTGACACATTTCCCGCTCTTATGTGCCCATCCCCCCACATGGATCACACCTGGCACACGCAATATATGTTCAGTGTCTGTTCTTTGTATATTTACTGCAGTGTTTCATGTATACCAGTAGTCTGATACAATATGTACAGTTTGAAAGGGTGTTAAATGAAATGGTTTTTGTGTTAATGTAATAGCAGTTAAAACAGAACCGGTCAAATTTGAACACCAAAGTAAGGGGGGGGGGGTTTTTAATAAACACTGGTGCCTTTTTAAGATATAAAAACCAACGTGTCCAGTTCATGTCCCTAATTCAATAATGTAATCTAGATGGAGGGATTTTATATGAATATTTGTATGGGTTATGAACACTGGATTTTGACATGTTCTCTTTTCACTGTTCATTCTGTTAGATGTGTTTCTAACAAAGCGTGTCTCTGTGTTCAGGTGCTGGCGTGGTTCGAGGAGGGCGAGGAAACGATCACAGCCTTCGTGGAGCCGTTTGTGATTTTACTGATTCTTATCGCCAACGCCATCGTCGGGGTGTGGCAGGTGAGCAGGCGCTTTGGTTTATTTGTTTTTTTTATTTGCATTTTAAAGAAATTGGTAAATGGAAATAGGGCAGACAAAACAAAAAACAAAATGCAGAAGAAGGAGATAAAGAAGGAGAGGAAAATGCTAATCATAGACATCAATTTGTAGGATTTATTTGACGTGTATGAACTTCATTTCTAATCCTTATAGCTATATTTTCCATTCTCTTAGTGGATTATTGTTCAGAGTGTTTGAATAACATGTTAAAATCTCTATTTATATCTTTTTGTTGGATTTAAAGGGTGAATTTACCAACTCGGAATCTAATTTTTCTGATTATTCTAACACCACATGAATGCAACACTGCCCTATCTCGCAATGTCAATAAAAGCTGTTAATAACTTGTTTGCCCCCCATGAATTGTAAATACACTCCGATTTTCTTTTGCCCAACATCAAAATGTTCAAAACCTAAAATCAGATGGTGCATTCAGGAGCACCTTGGATGATCCAAATTCCCAAGTTGGACATCAGTGTCTTTAAGAGGCTTAAATCATGTGGAAACAACATTGACTCTAGACCAGGGGGTCCGCGGGGTCTTAAAAAGTATTAAAAGTTGATAAATCAATTTAGCCAAAATTAAGGATATTAAAAAGTATTAAACGGCATTTTCCAAGGTATTCCATTTTGTAGCTTGTTTTCAATAAGTATATCAATTGTCCAAAGAGGTTGTATTCTACAGTCTGCCTGAATGTAATCATTGCGTAGGTGTGTAGTGTGATTCTGTGGAGTTTATTTATGGCATCCCGTTGGATTTGACGTCATCTGAACAGGACATCGCTCGCTCACTGCTTGATAGCACGCAAAGGTCCGTTTACGCCGGTTGATAAACAACATCGTTATGGGGAAATGCAAGTCTGCGTCCAAATGGTTGGAAGATAAGGAGGAAGGACAATCAATACTGTATAGTAACGCAGTGTAGGCGGAGCCGTGACGTCATCTTCAATGAGCTCCCCAGAAAAACAACACAGCTGTTAGCTCTTAGCACTCACAGCTCTTCATATCTGTTCAGAAACTAGACAAAAGTTAAACAAGTACAAACCACATACTGTCTGTGTCATGGCGAATACAGTCGCTGGTTTATTTAGGTCTGTATAGGCCGTTGTTGTGAGTGTGGACGGTCGGAGCATTTACAACGTTAGCTTAGCCAAATCTCCATTAGAAAACACGCATTTTAAAGGTTTTTCGCCTGCCGTCTTTCTGCAGACTTGTCAAAGCATTAATTCATGGTTTTTACTATCCGGTATCAGTATGTTGTTACTTCGGCATCATTTTGAAACGTGTATTACAATTAAATCACGGTCAAATATGTTCATCTTGTTGTAGTTGTAGCCCCCTTGACAGCGATTCTCTCTCTAGTTTAGACTGCGGTCAAGCCAGCCTCCACTCGGAAAAACCTAGTCAAGCCAGCCCTCACGTGATATTGCGGTGCGCGAATATCCTATGCATTACGGTAGAGTAAAAAAAAATCCGACCCCTGCTGTATATA